TGAATGAAAGGAGAAAGAGCAAGCCTGGCTTTTCTAGATGGGGGATGGGTAGCAATTGGGCGCAATCATCACCCACATATATGTCCATGGGGCCAGGGGTACCACACCTCTGCTTCCTCTAAACCATTTAACACCTTGATGATCTGCCAAGAACTTTGCTTATTAGTGGTTCCAGTTATGGCCTGGTGAGGGAGAAGGTTGAAAATAATTTGTTACTCATACATAATACGTCAGAATTCTATCACCTTCACTCGGCTACAGTACATCCACTCCAAACTCCACTAGCTCATTACATGAAGACATCCAAAAGCATTCAAACCCTTACGTGTTCCCTTTGTCATAATTCAACAGCAAAATCTAAAACGTGATAAACCGAGCTGTTTGCAAAGTTTTGTGGAGAGGAAGGTAATTCCAACCACCATGTATCACAAATGTTGAATTGTTCAACAGAGGATTACCAAATGGAAATTGAAATCTGCTCCACGTTTCTAATATCAAGCCAGGAGAGAAAAGAGTCTGTCATTGTCTCCACATCTAAGATGAAACCTGAGGACTCAGAGCAGCGATTGCCCTGGCTTGCCTGGCCATAAATACCTTCTTGATTAAAAGTCCATGTCCAAGCTGGGCATGGTGGCTCATGCCTGCAATCCCAGCACTTTGGGAGGCCAAGGTGAGTGGATCACTTGAGGCCAGGAGTTCGAGACCAGCCTGGCCAACATGGTGAAACCCCATCTCTACTAAAATTACAAAAATTAGCTGGGCATGATGGTGCAGCCATGTAATCCCAGCTACTCAGGAGACTGAGGCAGGAGAAACATTTGAACCCAGGAGGCAGAGGTTTCAGTGAGCCGAGATCATGCTACTGTACTCCAGCCTGGGTGACAGAGTGAAACTCTTGTCTCAAAAAGAATTTTTTTAATTAAAATTTTAAAAAAAAGTCCATGCCTGCCAGACTGTTGGAACAATGAAATGTTATTTCAAAACGTCTAAGTTTATGCAAAAGACAACAGACTAATCCAAAATAAGGATATAACAAGGGTATTAACTTCTATTAATAAAATCTATTTTATTTATTTATTTTTGAGACAGAGTCTTGCTTTGTCATCCAGGCACAAGTACAATGGCAAGATCTTGGCTCACTGCAACTTCCATCTCCTGGGTTCAAGCGATTCTCTTGCCTCAGCCTCCCGAGTAGCTTGGGCTGCAGGCATGTGCCACCACGTCCAACTAATTTTTGTATTTTTAGTAGAGACCTGTCTCCATGTTGGCCAGGCTGGTCTCAAACTCCTGACCTCAAGCAATCCACCCACCTCGGCCTCCCAAAGCGCTGGGATTACAGGCGTAAGCCACTGCGCCTGGCCTAAAATCTACTTTAAAAGTTTTTTGTGGTTTCTTCCCTGAAAGTTTCTAGGCCTTTGAACATATTTAAGGGGAGCAAAAATACTATGTTTGCATGTTTCAAATAAGTGAATAAAACATGGATGGAATTGACTAACTGTCTCAAGAATTAGATCAGGACTTTTGCCTCTAAAATAAATCCAAATATTAGTTTTCCTGTTTTTCTCACTTTATTATCATAAATGGGCCTTATTTTCTTTATTTCTTTTTTTCTGCATCTGCTTGCTAGGGAAATGTGTGCCTTATTTTAAAAGTCCGTTGTGTTCCTCGAAGGCTGTCTGCAAACTATTTTTGGAAAGTGAATCATGTAATATCTAAAGATATCAACTATTTTAGAGATCCTTATACTGAATTTTGTTTGCAATAGGAAGAAATATGTTTGTAATGTAAATATTCACTTTCTAGTTTTTCTATGTTTGAAAATTCAGATTCTAAAGTCTCAGATTTATATGTCTCATAGATTCTGAAAGTTTTTCACTCTTAAAATAGTAAATAGCTGACAAAATACAAATGGCGTGATATAAAACACAGAAAGGAATCAAATCAGTGGGTGGAAATGTCTTAACTTTGTGCTGATTAAGGAGTAAATGCGAGAAAAACTGTTCTTTTCCTTTTTTAGCTTCCTCATCTTCCCTCTTATGTTTTCCTTCCCTCTCCCAATCCCCTACTTCAGCAAGTTCCCAAATTTTAAACAAGTCAGTCTCCTGTTTGGCAACTTTTCCTGACCATTCAGCAGTCAGAAAACAGGAAAAGTTACTCTTCCCTTTGCCCTGTTTTTAAACTTTCTATTTCTACTAGGCAGCTTTTACCTATCACACTGGGATTTAACAAAGTATCTGAGGAATTAACTCACACTAATGTAGAAAACACTGGTGGCAATTTTCCATGTCTTTTTTTTTTTTTTTTTTTTTCTTCTTTGAGACAGAGTTTCACTCTTGTTGCCCAGGTTGGAGTGCAATGGCGTGGTTTTGGCTCCCTGCAGCCTCCGCCTCCCAGGTTCAAGCAATTCTCCTGCTTCAGCCTCCCAAGTAGCTGGGATTACAGGTGCATGCCACCATGCCTGGCTAATTTTTGTATTTTTAGTAGAGATAGGGTTTCACCGTGTTGGCCAGGCTGGTCTTGAACTCCTGACCTCAGGTGAATCACCTGCCTTGGCCTCCCAAAGTGTTGGGATTACAGGCGTGAGCCACCGTGCCCAGCTCCATATCATTTTTTTAAAGGTCACCCAGAGGCAACAATGTTTTGATTCAAAGGAACAGTTCGTTAGTGAATGGATTCTCGAGAGGACTTCTGTTTTACATGCATTTATCTCTGCCATCTCTCTAGTCCACTCTAACAAGAGTAAAGAAAAGAAGACCCACTGCCAAAAGGACAAAGAGGCAAAGAAGAACAATCTAAACCCAAAGCAAGCAGAAGGAAGGAAATAATAAGGCTTAGTGCAGATATTAATGAACAGAGAATAGAAAAACGACAGAGAAAAATCAACGAAAGCAAAAGTTGATTCTTTAAAAATACCAACAAAATGGACAAAACCTTAGCAAGACTGACCAAGAAAAAAAGACTCAATTACCAAATCCAGAATTGAAAGAGGGCTTATTACTACTAATCTCACAGAAATAAAAATTGTAAGGCAGCCAGGCACAGTGGCTCACACCTGTAATCCCAGCACTTTGGGAGGCCGAGGTGGGCAGATCACCTGAGGTCAATAGTTCAAGACCAGCCTGACCAACATGGTGAAACCCTGTCTCTACTAAAAGTATAAAATCAGCCGGGCGTGGTGGTGCACACCTGTAATCCCAGCTGCTCAGGAGCCCGTTGGCAGGAGAATCACTTGAACCCGGGAGGCAGAGGTTGCAGTTAGCCAAGATTGCATCACTGCACTCCAGCCTGGGCAACAGAGAGAGACTCTGTCTCAATAATAATAATAATAATAATAATAATAATAAATTATAAGGGAACACTATGAAAAACTGCATGCCAACACATTACACAGTATAATTTAGATGAAATGAACACATTTCTGGAAAGACACAAACTATCAAACCTGATTCAAGAAAGAATGGAAAATCTGAGTATACTTATAACAACTAACCAGGCTGAATTAATAATAAAAGAAAAGTCTCAGCTTCACTGGTGAAGTATACCAAGCATTTAAAAAAGAAATAATACCACTATGGTGTTATTCTGTGATAGTATTATAGCATGCAATTCCTCAAAATTAAAAATAGAATTACCATATAATCTGGAATATCTACTTCTGGATATATATCCAAAAGAATGGAAAGCATGGTCTCAAAGATATATTATATTTCTTGTTCATAGCAACAATATTCAGAATAGTCAAAAGATGGAAGCAGCCAAAGTGTTCATTGAAAGATGAATGGATATACAAAATGTGGTGTATACCTACAATGGAATATTACTCAGCCTTAAAAAGGAGGAAAATTCTGATGCATGGTATAACATGAATGATCCTTGAGGGCATTATGCTAATGTGAAATAAACCAATCACACAAAGAAAAATACTCTATAATTCCACTTATACGAGGTACATAAGAGCAGTCAGAATCATAGGAACAAAGCCAGGTATGCAACTAAAGTCTCAGGTACTTGGGAGGCTAAGACAGAAGGACTGCTTGAGCCCATGAGTTTGAAGCTGTAGTGCACTATGATTGTGCCTGAGAATAACCACTGCACTCTTGATTGGGCAACATAGTGAGATGCTGTCTCAAAAATTTTTTTTAAACTATAGAAACAGAAAATAGAACAGTGGTTACTGGGAGCTGGGAGAAGGGGAAATGGGAGGTTGTTTAATAGGTATGGAGTTTCCATTTTGCAAGATAAAAAAGTTCTGGGCCAGGTGCAGTGGCTCACACTTGTAATCCCAGCACTTTGGGAGGCCAAGGCAGGTGAATCACCTGAGGTCAGGAGTTCAAGACCAGCGTGACCAACATGGTGAAACCCCATCTCTACTAAAAATACAAAATTAGCCAGGTGTGGTGGAGCATGCCTGTAATCCCAGCTGCTCGGGAGGCTGAGGCAGAAGAATTGCTGGGACCCGGGAGGCGGAGACTGCGGTGAGCCGAGATCACGCCATTGCACTCCAGCCTGGGTGACAAGAGTTAGACTCCGCCTCAAAAAAAAAAAAAGTTCTAGAAGCTGGTTGCAACAACAATGTGAATATACTTATCACTACTAAATTGTAAACTTAAAAATGGTTAAGATAGAAATTTTCATATTAGTGTATTTTACCACAATTTTTAAAAGATAAATAAATGATATAAATTCTTCACAAACTCTTCCAAAATATAGAAGAGAAGGGAACATTTCCCAACTCATTCTATGAAACTGGTATTGCCCTGATACCCAAACCAAAGACACCACAAGAAAGCTATGAACTAGTATCTCTTACCAATAAGATGCAAAATCCTCAAAACAATTAGCAAGTAGAATTTGGCAATATGTAAAATGGATTATACACCACGATCAAGTGGAATTTATCCCAGGAATGCAAGATTGTTTTAACATCCAAAAGTCAATTGATGTAACATACCACATCAACAGAGTAAATGGGCCTGTCTGCACCGACCAGCACCAGGCCCATGACACAGGGCTACTGGGACATCTGAGGGCTGACCCACACCATCTGCCTGCTCCAGCAATACACAGACTCAAGCTATGAGGAAAAGAAGTACACGATGGGGGGGTGCTCCTGACTCTGACAGAAGCCAGTGGTTGAATGAAAAAGTTGAGCTAGGCCTGGACTTTCCCAATCTGCCCTACTTGACTGATGGGGCTCACAAGATAACCCAGAGCAAGGCCATCCTGGGCTGCATTGCCTACAAGCACAACCTGTGTGGGGAGACAGAAAGGGAGAAGATTTGGGAAGACAGTTTGGAGAACCAGCTTATGGACAACCAAATGCAGCTGGCCAGACTCTGCTACAACGCAGGTTCTGAGAAACTGAAGCCAGAATATCTGGAGGCACTCCCTGCAATGCTGAAATTCTACTCACAGTTTCTGGGGAAGCAGCCATGGTTTCTTGGGGACAAGATCGCCCTTGTGGATTTCATTGCTTATGATGTCCTTGAGAGAAACCAAGTATTTGAGCCCAAGTGCTTGGATGCTTTCCCAAACCTGAAGGACTTCATCTCCCGATTTGAGGGCTTGGAGATCTCTGCCTACACGAAATCCAGCCGCTTCCTCCCAAGACCTGTGTTCACAAAGATGGCTGTCTGGGGCAACAAGTAGTGCCTTGAAGGCCAGGAGGTGGCAGTGAGCTGCCCATACTCAACCTGCTGCCCAGACTGTGTAGAGCAGCTGGACTCCACACCCCAGCCCCTGCCTTCTTGTTCTTTTCTCCTGTTTATTGCCTTCTTTACCCCCAAGACTTTATTGGCCCTCTTCACTTCCCCTAAACCCCTGTCCCATCCAAGCCCTTTAAAGCCTCAGCTACCCATTTTCCTTTATGAACGTCTCCCTCCCAACATTACCCTTCCCTGCACTAAAGCCAGCCTGACCTTCCCTCCTGTTAGTGGTTGTGTCTGCTTTGAGGGGCCTCACTGGCCCCTCGCCTGTGGAGCTAGCTCAGCCCTGAGGTCCCAGGGCTGCATGAAAGAGCAGCATTGACTGGTTTACAGGCCCTTCTCCTGCAGCATGGCCCCTGCCTTAAGCCTACCTGATCCAAGTAAAACCTAAAACACACACACACACACACACACACACACACACACACACACACACACACACACAGAATAAATGTCAAAATCCACAGGATCATTTCAATAGATGCAGAAAAAGCACTTGACAAAATTTAACACCCTTTCATGATGAAAAAAACACTCAACAAAATAGGAATAGATGAGAATTTCTTCAACTTAATATAGGGCTTCTACAAAAAACCCACAGGTAAGAGCATATTTAATGGTAAAAGAACTGATTCTTTTTCAGATGAAGCATCAAGACAAAATGAAGAACAGGACAAAGACGTCTGCTCTCCCGGCTTCTATTCAACATTGTGAAGGAGGTTCTAGCCAAGGCAATTAGGCAAGAATAAGAAATAAAAGGCACCCAGCTTGGAAAGGAAGAAATAGAAGTATCCTATTAGTTGATGATGTGATTTCGCATATAGAAAATTCTAATGAATCCACTAAAAAACTGTTTGAACTAACAAACAAGTTCAGCATGGTTGCAGAATACAAGATTAATATACAAACAGAAATTGTATTTCTTTATAGTTGCAATAAGCAAACAGACAATGAAATAAAGAAAATTCTGTTTATAATAGCATCAAAAAGAAAAACTACACAGAAATAATTTTAACAAAAGAAGTACAACACTTGTACACTGAAACCTACAAAACATCATTGAAAGAAATTGAAGATTTTAATAAATGAAAAGATAATCTATGTTCATAGGACAGAACACTTAACATTGTTAAGATGGAAAAACTCTTCAAATTGAACTAAAATTCAATACTGTCCCTAACAAAAACCTTGGCTGATTTCTTTGCAAAAATTGGCAAGCTAATCCTAAAGCTCATATGGAAATTTAAGAAACTCAGAATGGTCAAAACAGGTTTTTAAAAAGAACAAAGCTGTAGAATTTACATTTCCCAATTCTAAAACTCACTACAAACCTATAGCAATCAAGACAGAGTGGTACTGGCATAAGGACAGACATATTGATCAACAGAACAGAATTGAAAGTCCAGAAATAAAGCCTCACATTTACTGTCAATCAATTTTTGACAAGAGCACACAACCATTGAATGAGGAAAGAACAGTCTTTTCAAAAAGTGGTGCCAAGACACTGGATATCCATATGCAAAGGATGAAGATGGACCCTGTGACTCACACCAGATACAAAAATGAATTCAAAATGGATCAAAGACTTAAATCTAAGAGTTAAAACTCTAAAACTCTTCAAAGAAAAGTCAGGAGTGAGTCTTTATGACCTTGGACTAGGCAATAGTTTCTTAGATATGACACCAAAAGCACAAGTAAAACAAAAGAAAAAATGTGTAAATTAGACTTTATTAAAACTAAAACTTTAGTCCTTCAAAGTACATCATCAAGAAAGTGAAAATATTCCAATGCTCAACAACATTAATCATCTGATAAATGCAAACCAAAACCATATGAGATACCACTTTACATCCATTAAGATAACTATAATAAAAATGGGAAATATACATAAGTGGACTTGTGTTATATGGGGAAAAAATGGAAAATAGCAAGCACTGGTGATGATGTGGAGAAACTGCAACCCTCGGCCGGGCGTGGTGGCTCATGCCTATAATCCCAGCACTTTGGGAGGCCGAGGCCTGAGAATCGCTAGAACCCAGAACAGTGAGCCAAGATCATGCCACTGTACTCCAGCCTGGACAACAGAGCAAGACTTCATCTCAAAAAATAAAATAAAATAAAGAAAAGAATTTGGCAATTAAAGAAGTGCTTTGTTGAGTTAGTATGCCACAAAGTTATATAGTACTAAAAATACGCCTGTACTCTTACCCGGCTTCTCCAGAACTGAGGGAGATCATGGAAGGATGAAAGCAGTAGGTTTCTCATGGCAGTGAATATGATTTTCTCCTTCCATTTTTCCTTCTCCCTCTTGTTAAATAAAATTCCCCTGGTTGCAACTCCCTAGTGAGAGGATTGATGACAATTGAGTTATTTTGGAGGATCCATCTTTAGGCAGATTCTAGTTGTATCACCGAAGCTGTGACTGGGATATCATATATGAGAAGATATATAGAATGAATCTATAGGTACTGGAGGCTAAGTCTAAAGTATGCCTTGATTTGGCTTCCTAACCTAAAGAAGTTTTAAATGTCCATTCTGAGAGTTCTTACCAAAAGTTCCAGCAAAGCTTTGCAGCAGTAAATGCTATAGAAAAAGAGAAAAAAGTTCCCACAGGCTGGGTACAGTGGCTCACTCCTGTAATCCCAGCACTTTGGGAGACCGAGGCAGGAGGATCACCTGAGGTTGAGGGTTCAATACCAGCCTGACCAACATGGACAAACCCCATCTCTACTAAAAATACAAAATTAGCCGGGTGTGGTGGTGCATGCCTGTAATCCTAGCTACTCAGGAGACTGAGGCAGGAGAATCACTTGAACCTGGGAGGCGGAGGTTGCAGTGAACTGAGATTGCACCATTGCAATCCAGCCTGGGCAACAAAAGTGAAACTCCGTCTCAAAACCAACAAACAAACAAACAAAAAACAGTTCCAGCAAAGCAAACCTAAAAACAGTCTATGTGGTCAAGGCCAACTTTGATGAGACTACCCTTATTTTGTAAACCCATTTGTCTTATTCTGATTATTTTTGGTAGAAATGGGAGGAGTAACTGTAGAGAGAAAAACTGTTTCTGAAGAAAAGCTATAGTACACCTGCTATTGGGTTGTAGCTCTGCTCATCGTTTTCAAGTTTTTCTTATCTTCCTGTAGACTGGACTAGATTCTAGAATTCTCTTTTCCTCCAATATCTGGCTACAACTCTCCAACTAAGAAGAACGGCTCTGTTCCCAAAGCCCTCTAAGCTGAAACCAGACAACTCGATGTAAATTTCAAGGGACAAGTGTCATTCCTGATGTGCGGGCCACACAGAGTTCACCACAATGCCTGATACCATAACCAGAGACATTCAAACCGCAAACCAGGGAAAGAAGTTGACAACTTCATGCTGTAAACAGCTTTCCCCAAGGTTTCAGCACAAGACTGCCTATCATAAGATTCTTGCCCCTCTGAACTTGTTTTTTTTTTTTCTTTTTTGCCCATCTTTTTCGCTTGGCACAGTCAGCAGCTCCTGCAGGCAATCTGATGAACTGTCATGTGAAACCCAAATCTTTACAGAACCTAAGAGCTTCTTTAGTCCATCTAGTGGGTAAGTTTAGCAACATCTCTAATGTACGTAACTGTTGTTCAAATTGTACTAGCGGTCCCTTTTATAAAGTTACACTTCTAGATCCACTTGTTCTCACTCCCTGCTTTAGTATAACCCAGTCATAGGATGCCAGATTTTCTATAGCTGTATAGGAGGAGTCTGTGCAGTTGATAACACTTGTTGTCCATGGGTAGAAGCATTGGGTATTGCAGAGACTCGGTTACAAAAAATGAACAGTCGCTTGGGTAAAACAAGTGGACTCCTCATCTGACTCCTTCTTTGATTTATTCAATTTTAGTTGGTTTGGTTCATGGGATCCTGGCTAAGGAGCTTACACCAAACTGCTGGTATTATCCTCCTGATAGTCATAATAGTGGTCTTCCTGGTATGCTATATTCTCTCAAAGGTTTTAAATACCTACACGTAGCCATCCATTGAACATTGGATGACCTCTCTTCAGCTAGAATAACAAAAACTCAAAGAAGTATGTGATCATGAGGACACCACAACCTAAGAATGGCACATCGAGACCAGAAACGCAGAATGATGGTAACTGAGAGCAGTGTGAATGGCCTAAGTTTTGGTTGCACTCTCATCTACGTGACAGCCTGACCCAAAGGGTGAAATCGTTTTAAAAAAAAAAAATTATAGGAGGCCACTGGTTTGGACTGAACTCCTGCTCTAGGTCCAACAGATCAAACCAAAATGGAGTCAGTCACGCTAAAGTTCCACATCGCCAAACTGAAACTAAGTTGTTTATCTGACCTTCTGAGAAATCAGGTGAGAGACAATAGCTAAATCCCTAAACAAGCAATTTCAGCCAGTATGATAAAGAAGTCCCCTTTCTAGCCTTTACAAGGAAAGCAACTTTGAAACAATCTATCAAGTTTTTGTTTTCTGTTTTGGCGTTTCTCAACCTTTTTCTGTCTATAAAGCCAACCTCCTCTGATTAGAACATTCATTGTACTTTTTTTTTTTGTTTTTTTTTTTGAGACCGAGCCTTGCTCTATCACCCAGGCTGTAGTGCAGTGGTGCGATCTCAGCTCACTGCAACCTCCGCCCCCTGGGCTCAAATGACTCTTGTGCCTCAGCCTCCCGAGTAGCTGGGATTACAACCACATGCCACCACCCCCAGCTAACTTTTGTATTTTTAGTAGAGATGGGGTTTTGCCATGTTGGCCAGGCTGGTCTCGAACTTCTGACCTCAGGTGATCCGCCCGCCTTGGCCTCCCAAAGTGCTGGGATTACAGGCATGAGCCACCACACCCAGCCTCATTGTATTTTATAGTATGAGGTGTTGCTCAGTTCTAGAATTACAAATAAAAGCCAATTACGTTTTTAAGCTAAATTTATTTGTTGTAATTTTGTCTTTTGCAACTCTTCTTTTCTTTCTTTTCCTCCTCTTCTTCCCCTTCCTTTTTTTTTTTTTTTTTTTTTTCTGAGATAAGTCTCACTCTTGTACCCCA